TCATGGTTTTCCAAGATTTTCACAAAGTGCGACCAAACGGGCTTCGCGCGCGCATGTCGAAATCTGTCGAACGCCCTTGCGCGTGTGCCGTCGCGAGAATCCTCTGCAAAAAACAAAACGAAATGCAGACGCGCGCGTCGTCGCGCGCGTATGCCGGAAACCTTCAAAACCCATCGGTTTCGGAGGGATTTCAAAATCGTGCGTCCAACAAATCTTCAAAAACACAAGGTTTCACAACACGGATGTTCAACAAAAGCGTGCGCGCGCGCTCTTGCGTCGTCGTCGTCGTCGTCGCCGTCCTCCCTCCTCCCGCGTCGTCATCGTCGTCGTCGCCTACGTCGTCCTCTGTCTTTTTTCGTGTTCGTCGTCATCGTCCTCTTTGGCGTCGTCGTCGTTTCCGTCGTCGTTGTCGCCGTGGTCGTCCTTCCTCCTCCTCCCTCGTCGTCGTCGTCGTCCGTCGTCGGCGTCTCGTCGTCGTCCCTCCTATTTCGTCGCCATCGTCGTCGTCGTTGTCGTCGTCGTCGTCTTCCCTCCTCCTTCGTCGTTGTCGTCGTCGGCGTCGCCGTCCTTCCTCCTTCGTCGTCGTTCGCGTCGTCGCCGTCCTCCTTCCTCCCTCGTCGTTGTCGTCGTTGTCGTCGTTGTCGCCGTCGTCGTCCTTCCTCCTTCCTCGTCGTCGCTTTCGTTGGCGTCGTCGTCGTCGTCTTCGACGTCGTCGGCGTCGTTGTCGTCGAAATCGTCGGAAACGTCGTCGGTGTCGTCCTAGTCGTTGTCGTCGGTGTCGTCGTAGTCCGTCCTAACAGGTTTTGCAAAACAAGTTGCGGGTGGGTGGGTGGGATGTTTGCGCGAGCAGTGGAGATGACGACTTCAAGTTCAGCAGAGTGGATTGCACGACATAGATTGCACCCCAAACGTTGCACAACACGTGTTGCACCACGTCTGCTGTACAGCATAAATAGCACAACATAAATCGCACCACATATGCTGCACCACGAGAACTACTCCATATACACATGTATATATATAAACATATGTATATATAGATTGCACAACACCGGTTTTCCCACATACTTGCGTCACATGGACTCTCGCTTCCAGAATAATGATCAACATAGACGATACCCCCCTACCGAAGCCGGACTCAACAATCCCCCTCTCGCGATATGTAATTTGCGTCGGAGTATGGTCCCGTGGCCGCGCGCGTCGTCGCGCGCGAGTTCCGAAATCATTGAACAACCTGAAGTTTCGTAGTGGTTTCAAAACCGAGTGCCCCGGAAACATATAAACGCACGGTTTTACACAATCAGATGTCAACAACAACTTGCGCTCGCGCTCTTGCGGAATCAAACACACATATGTTTTTTTGGTTTCCACCTGTTCATCAACTTCTGCCAAGCGCGCCTCTCGCGCCGCATGTCGAACTCCTCCCTGGACGCCCTTGCGCGCAAGTTTTTTTTGAGGGGGAATGATCCGTGCCAAATAATACTGCGCGGGCCAATCGCATGTATCGGCCGCGCGCGCTCACGTCTAACTCCTTCAAAAAGCTGCACCGCCAACGCGAGGACATCAGCATCGGTATCGGCGGGCGTGATCAACAACGGCGCCGTCATTGGCCTTGCCGTCGTCATCGCCACCTCCGTCACCACCGCTGCTCTCGAAATCATGTCTACCGTTGTCAGTGTCGCCATGATACCGCGCCCGCCCAAGTCACCGACCCGCACTGAAATGCCCGCACTGAAATGCCCAAGGGTCAGCGACACCGCGGCCGCGTCGACCGTGCCAAACTAGCTGGCCGCTGTGCGCGCAAGCATGCGCGGGCTAGCGCGGCCACAGAGATGCACAAACCAACACCAAGCATGTATCGCAATCGCCGCCGCATGGGTTTTGCAAACCAAGTTGCGGGTGGGTGGGTGGTATGATTGCAAGAGCATGGATTGTGTCAACTCGCTTGTAGAAATCAACTGCACCACATATATTGCGCATCGTATGCTCCTCAAACGGATTGCACAACGTAAGCTGCACCGCATAGATTACACAGCATCGATTGCTCCTCGTGGTTGCATCACATAGATTGCAAAACATAAGCAACACCACATCTATTGCGAGAGACACACTGTTTGAGGTCCACGCTGGCTAACATATTGTTGTGCACCCTCCCACACGGTTCCCACCAGCCTCTGGCACAACCCGCCAGCCACACAGAAAAAACATAAACCAACTTCACTTCTTCCGCCTCCAAGATGGCCGCCAAGACGCCTCCAAGACGGCCAATATGACCCCAAAGCGGTCCCAAGAGTGCTCCAAGAGGAACTCCAGGAGGCCTAGAAATTACTGCCTTGACTCAGGTCTTCCAATGATGTTAGTGTGTTCGCCCTTTCGGGCTTCCGGCTCTCCAAGCCGGCTCCATATGCTCCCAAGATCGCCCTTGGACGACCCAGGAGGCCTCCAAGGCCCGCAGGACAGGCCAAGAGGGCCCCAAGACAGCCCAAGAGGCCCGCAAGACGGCCCCACAACTGCCCAGAGAGGCTCCCAAGACGGCCTCCGAAGGCAAGGAGGTCCATCTGAGGCCCCCAAAGCCCCCAGAGGCCCCGAAAAGGCTCACAAGACGGCCCAGGAGGCCCCCAAGAGGCCCCGACGAGGCCTCCAAGAGGCTCCCCAGAAGCCCGCAGGAAGCCCCAAGACGGCCTCGACAGGCCTTCTTTTCCCCTTCCTTCTCTTCGTCCTCCTCCTCATTCCTCTCCTCTTCTTTTCTCTCTCTCTCCCGACTGTTCCCCCAATGGGTTCCACAACGGCTGGGAAACACACATAGTCCAATAGCTTGGTCAGAATTTAGCTTATGTTTGGCCGCATGGGCGTAGGGGGCGGCGCTGGTTCGCCGTAGGCGCCTTGGACAAAATCGACCCTGCCATGGATCAAACTTGTCAGGTGATGTGAACAGTGGGACAGAGCTGATCGCCCAGCAAGACACTCGAGTCAAAAGAGCAACGGATGAAGATAGCGCCGCAGTCACCAAGTGTGGCATGGCTGGGGCACAGAGAATGTCGGATCTAGACGCAGAAACAGGATCGACACAGAGCTAACCTTCCACCTTCCCTCACTCACACATCCTCTCCCATCGCTCCTCTCCTCCGTCCTCCCTCTTCGTCCCCTCTCATCCTCCTTCTTCCTTCCTCCGCTTCCTCTTTCCTCTTTTCTCACTTCCAATTCGAAACAAGCACACACCCGAGACTTAATGATCACGAACATGAGCGCACCAGCGGAGCCTCCCCCACGGCCCCGAGGGCCGCCCAACATGGGGCCAGCTTCGGATCGGGAAGCCGGGTCGAGGTCGGAACCCCGTCGTAACTGATGGAATCGGGGCCAAGTCGGCAGTCGCCGCGTCGGCTCTCAAATCAGAAACCAGAGCTCGAATCGAAGACTTTCTCGAGTCGGATCGATGCCGAACCGGCCTGGGGCTGCGCCGGATCGGGCCAGATCGGAGACCCAGGTCACCAGACGCTGAAAAGCGCCCGCCGCTGACGACGAAGAGACGCAGACAGGGCCGGGGGGCGCCCCCGTCGACACAGACTGCCGATTCTGCGTTTCTTCCCCGAACAGTGCTTGCACTACTGCAGCGTGGCTAATGGTTGTGACCTCTGTCACGGCGCGCTTGTGAATCGAGATGCGCGGAGAGAGCGCTTCCTCAAGCGATGCTGCGATGAGGCGAGGTGTCCCAGACCACAAGAACCCGCTCGCCGTAGTCATAAAACGGGGTGAACCACCCCAGCGGTGGTGTAAGCTCTCCATGTGGAAAAACGGGCGGGGGAAATTTCCACACCGCTATGCACATACAATAACCCCCCGCAAAGAACGACAAAACCGGGTGTGGGGCCGAAACCCACTCCGCCACAGCCCGGTCCCACATTGCAGGACTCTGCAGGGGGGCAGGGGTCCCACGTCTGCAGCGATGGCCAGATCTTTAGCAGCAGCTTGCGCGGCTTCTGCGCAAGTGCTCGGGCGGGTTCACACGGCGCTCGCCGGGTCGCCGCCCGCGGGCGCCTCCTGCGCTGGCGCCGCCCGTGGGGGCGCCTCGCGCCTTGGCTGGGTTGCCAGGGCTTCGCCTGGCCGCCGTCCGTGGGCGCCTCGTGGGCGTCCCCGTCCGTTGGCTGGCGGCGCGAAGCACACACTGTTCACACCCCATAGATTGCAAACGCAAATTGCGCTCAGTCGTTGTCGTCGTCGTTGTCGTCGTCGTCATCCCTTCTCCCTCGTCGTTGTCGTCGTCGGCGTCGCCGTCCTTCCTCCTTCTCTGTCGTTCGCGTCGTCGCCGTCCTCCCTCCTCCCTCGTCGTTGTCGTCGTTGTCGTCGTTGTCGCCGTCGTCGTCCTTCCTCCTCCCTCGTCGTCGCCTTCGTTGGCGTCGTCGTCGTCGTCTTCGTCGTCGTCGGCGTCGTTGTCGCCGTCGAAGTCGTCGGAGACGTCGTCGGTGTCGTCGTAGTCGTTGTCGTCGGTGTCGTCGTAGTCGGTCTTGAGAGGTTTTGCAAACCAAGTTGCGGGTGGGTGGGTGGGATGTTTGCGCGAGCAGTGGAGATGACGACTTCAAGTTCAGCGGAGTGGTTCACACCCCATAGATTGCAAACGCAAATTGCGCTCAGTAGATTGCACCACGCAGATTGCGCCCCATAGTTTGCATCGAATGGCATGCACTACGCAGAGTGCACCCCAAATGCTGCACCTAATACGGTTTGCTGGCGGCTCGAAGCACACATTGCCCACACCCAACAGGTTGCACCACGCAGATGGCGCCCCATAGCTTGCATCGAATGGCATGCACTGCGCAGAGTGCACCGTACATGCTGCACCAAACATCTTGCATCACACGTATAGAGTGCAACACATACATTGCACCACATCGCATACATCACATAGATTGCAACTCAGGGGCAAAACCCCCTTCCGCAAAACACCCTGTAGTAAAAACGACCCGGGGACCACACCTGGCGGGCGCAAGCCCGCAAACATGCGGCCGCAAACCTTCTCGAGAATCAACAAGTGGCAATTCGCTAATCGACTTGGCAACGTGCGGGTTCTATTAACCTCCGACCAACTGGATGACGCGAATGTCTTCATCTTTGCCACCGTGGACACTGAAGCTTGCAGAACACTCGCTCTGCACGTCAAATTCCCTTACACAAGCTGTACGGCGTCGCGCGCTGTCGGCGCGACGAACGAGGCGCGCCCCCTGGGCCCGTTAGGAGAAGCTCTACTCGGATGGACCAGCTGCTTGCATGCAGGAGGATTGAGGCGACCCGACTTCCTAACAATCGGTGCAACCATCGCCAAACACCTGCCAGCCGAGGCACGGGTCGTTAGACGGGTTCCGAGCGCAGTAGCCCTCTCCGTGAGACGCGTGGACGTACGCCTGCAGGTCGACGCTGGCCTTGGTGCCGTCCGTCAGGTCGCAAGTCCACCCGCAGTCCTCTCCCTCCCAGCACGACTTGCACGAGGCAGTCCCGGCGTACTGGCCCTGCCACTGCTGCGGGCACACGCTGCCCTATGAAATGCCCAGCCGCACCCACACAAAAGCCCGTGCCGCATCGCTGTCGCGTCGGAGGCCAGCCGGGAAGCAGCCGCCTGGGCGCTGCTGCTTCATGAACCCAGGCTGCACAATCGTGTGGAGCCACGCCCGAACACCTGCGCGCCCCGGCACGGGTCGTTGGACGGGTTCCGAGCGCAGTAGCCCTCTCCGTGAGACGCGTGGACGTAAGCCTGCAGGTCGACGCCGGCCTTGGTGCCGTCTGTCAGGTCACAAGTCCACCCGCAGTCCTCTCCCTCCCAGCACGACTTGCACGAGGCAGTCCCGGCGTACTGGCCCTGCCACTGCTGCGGGCACACGCTGCCCTTGATGTCCAAGCCGTCCAAGAAGGCGCAGCTTCGCTGCGCGTCGGTGGAGTGCAGGGAAGCAACGCCTGGGCGTGCTGCTCCTGCCACTGGCTGCACAATCGTTGCAGCCATCGCCGAAGTGCAGCCATCGCCGAACCCCTGCCGTCAAGCCGAGGCACTGGTCGTCGGACGGGTCCGCTCGCAGTAGCCCACATCCGTGAGACGCGTGGAACGAAAGCCGCAGGTCGACGCCGGCCATGGTGCCGTCTGTCGTTCCACAAGTCCACACCTCAATTCCTCTCCCTCCCAGCACGACTTGCACGAGGCAGTCCCGGCGTACTGGCCCTGCCACTGCTGCGGGCACACGCTGCCCTTGATGTCCAAACCGTCCAAGAAGGCGCAGCTTCGCTGCGCGTCGGTGGACTGCAGGGAAGCAGACGACTGGGCACTGCTGCTCATGCCACTGGCTGCACAATCGGTGCAGCCATCGCCGAACACCTGCCAGCCGAGGCACGGGTCGTTGGACGGGTTCCGAGCGCAGTAACCCTCTCCGTGAGACGCGTGGACGTACGCCTGCAGGTCGACGCTGGCCTTGGTGCCGTCCGTCAGGTCGCAAGTCCACCCGCAATCCTCTCCCTCCCAGCACGACTTGCACGAGGCAGTCCCGGCGTACTGGCCCTGCCACTGCTGCGGGCACACGCTGCCCTTGATGTCCAAGCCGTCCAAGAAGGCGCAGCTTCGCTGCGCGTCGGTGGACTGCAGGGAAGCAGACGCCTGGGCGCTGCTGCTCATGTCACTGGCTGCACAATCGGTGCAGCCATCGCCGAACACCTGCCAGCCGAGGCACGGGTCGTTGGACGGGTTCCGAGCGCAGTAGCCCTCTCCGTGAGACGCGTGGACGTAAGCCTGCAGGTCGACGCCGGCCTTGGTGCCGTCTGTCAGGTCACAAGTCCACCCGCAGTCCTCTCCCTCCCAGCACGACTTGCACGAGGCTAAAAACCAAAAAAATTGAAAGATAAAAAAGAGCACAAAAAAAGTCCCGGCATACAGGCCCTTCCTCCCACGCTGCGGCACACGCTGCCCTTGATGTCCCCCCCCCCCATCCCCCCAAGCCGTCCAAGAAGCGCAGCTTCGCTGGCGCGTCGGACTCAGGGAAGCAGACGACTGGGCACTGCTGCTCATGCCGCTGGCTGCACAATCGGTGCAACCATCGCCGAACACCTGCCAGCCGAGGCACGGGTCGTTGGACGGGTTCCGAGCGCAGTAGCCCTCTCCGTGAGACGCGTGGACGTACGCCTGCAGGTCGACGCTGGCCTTGGTGCCGTCCATCAGGTCGCAAGTCCACCCGCAGTCCTCTCCCTCCCAGCACGACTTGCACGAGGCAGTCCCGGCGTACTGGCCCTGCCACTGCTGCGGGCACACGCTGCCCTTGATGTCCAAGCCGTCCAAGAAGGCGCAGCTTCGCTGCGCGTCGGTGGATTGCAGGGAAGCAGACGCCTGGGCGCTGCTGCTCATACCACTGGCTGCACAATCGGTGCAGCCATCGCCGAACACCTGCCAACCGAGGCACGGGTCGTTGGACGGGTTCCGAGCGCAGTAGCCCTCTCCGTGAGACGCGTGGACGTAAGCCTGCAGGTCGACGCTGGCCTTGGTGCCGTCCGTCAAATCGCAAGTCCACCCGCAGTCCTCTCCCTCCCAGCACGACTTGCACGAGGCAGTCCCAGCGTACTGGCCCTGCCACTGCTGCGGGCACACGCTGCCCTTGATGTCCAAGCCGTCCCAGAAGGCGCAATTTCGCTGCGGGTCGGTGGACGATCCACGCAGGCTCGGCGCGGGAGTGCTGGCAGCTCCAACGGCAAAGGTGACTGTGAATCCGCCACCGTGCACCCTGGTACGTTGAGGCGTAGTAGTATGCCAAGGGCTGTCAGGTAACATTTGTTTTTTTTCGTCCCCCCCTCCCGAGGCCACGATCTCTGGGCAAAAGACGATGAAACATTTGCGCTCCAGAGGCCACGATCGCAGGTAATGAACTATGGATCCGCCTCCCGAGTTTCCAAGACGGCCCAGGCAGGCAACTAAGGCCGCCAAGATGGGCCAAGATGCCTCGAAGACGGCCCAAGATGGCCTCAAGGCGGCCCAAGAGGGCCTTAGAGGGCCACAAGAGGACCTCCAAAAGGGTCCGAAGACGCCCAAACCGTTGAGCTCCCTTAGGTGTTTGACAAATGTTCGCATTCTCGCCTCTTCGAGCTTCTCTCAGCTCAAGACGGCCCAAGAAGCATCCCACATGTCCCCAAGACGGCCTAAGAGGCCCCCCACAGGGTCTCAAGATGGCCCACTAGGACTCCACGATGGCCCAAGCGGCATCCAAAACGGCCCCAACACGGCCCAAGAGGGTCGGTCCCCAGGGGGATCCAAGACGACCTTATAAGGCCCTTCGACGGCCAAAGACTGCCTCGAGACGGCCCCCAGACACCGCCCCGTACGGCCAAGATCGCCACAAAAAACGGCCCAAGAGAGCCCCAAGACGGCCGAAGAGCCCCAAGATGGCCCCAAGACGGTCCCAAGGAGCCCTGAAGACTGCCCCACAGGAGACCAAGGTAGCCCCAAGACCGGTCAAATGAACTCCATTAGGGCTCCTCAAGAAATGAAAACGAAAGGTGTCACGTGTGACAGCCTTTCTCTTTCTCCTTCTCCTCCTCCGCCCCCTCCTGCTCCTCCTCCTCCTCCTCCTCCTATTCCCCTCCTCTTCCTCCTCGTCCTCCTCCCCATCGTCATCGTCATCGTCATCGTCATCGTCATCGTCATCGTCATCATCATCATCATCATCATCATCATCATCATCATCATCATCATCATCATCATCATCATCATCATCCTCATCCTCATCCTCATCCTCATCATCATCCTCATCCTCATCTCATCATCAGCATCAGCATCATCATCAGCATATCTTAGATCATCATCATATTCATATCAGCATCATCATCACAAACCATCCTCATCATCTCATCATCATCAGCATCATTCATCATCATCACCCCACCACCACCACCACCACCACCACCACCATCATCATCATCATCATCATCATCATCATCATCATCATCATCATCATCATCATCATCATCATCACGGCCCTCCCAAGCCTGGGGACACGAGGTGTCACAAAAGACGGCCTCCCGTGCCCCCTCGAACAGTCGCCACTCAGAATGCTGGGCTGGCACGGTGGCGGAACTTGCTGCTGGCAGATTGATCCGCAGCGCTCTGCATTCATCACAGGGGTGCTTTGCGTGCTCGACGTCTTTCCCCAAACAGTGCTTGCACTTACGGGTTCTTACTTTTTTTCTAAGGAACTGGGCCTGCCTGTCGGTCTGGCGGCTCTGTTGTGGCCGTCGCCGCCCCGTCGCCGCCCGTAACTGGGCCTGCCTGTGCGTCTGGTGGCTATGTTGCCGCCGTCGCCGCCCCGCCGCCGCCGTCGCCGCTCGTCGCCGCCAGATTGCACCATACAGGTTGCACAATACACGTAGCTTGCATCGCATATTTTTCACCACCTAGAGGTGAGGCGAGGCGAGGCGAGGCGCGCCTGAGTCCGCCGGGGGGCGGGGCCTGGAAGGCCGGCGCGGGCGGGCCGGGGCCCTCAGTCACAGAAGTGGGAGTTGTGGCCAATGCAGTGTGTGTGTGTCGTAGGAATGCTTGCTCCAAATTGTTCCACTGGTCGCTGTCTTGTGCTACTGTATACCACTTTCCGCTGCCAGGTTCGAGAAGCATCTTCGCTGTCAAAAACTGCGTGATATCGTCTTCCCACCGCTTCCTCTGACGCCCGTGCCTGCGGACTGCTTGCCGGTGGTCGTGGACGTCCGGCCCCCACGTCGCAGCAAGTCGGCCCCATCTGTCGTACGGTTGGTTTGCAACTCGCCCAGCCCACCGCCATTTCCGTCGAAAGTACACCGTAGTCCACTCATCCACGCGGGCCCGTTTTGCTAGATCCGCGGCAGTGTGCGTAGCTCTGCGGATAAAGACTTCCCATGGTTCGAGGTCGAAGTCGTCGTCGCCACCGTCCGCATGAAACTCGTCGTCGTCGTCGTCGAAATTCGTCCTGTGTTCGCGTCCGTCGTATGCGTGCGTTCCTGCGTCGATGTTGCCCGTGTTGTCGGTAAGGGCGTCGTTGCGAAATGCTCGGCGTCGCGGGGTGTTCACGATGAGTCGCAGCATCCTTCTTTGAGTGCGCGTCAGGGTTTGGAGCATGTCCTTGGTCATCGTCCAGGATACGGACCCGTAAATGACCGTAGGCGTCACAGTTCCATTGAAAAGACGGAGTCTGCTGTGTAGTGGGTATCGCTTGTTGGTGAGCTCGTTGCGGAGCTGGTTGAACCGGCGCCATCCAGATGCCATTCTGTTGTTGAGTTCAGCGTGGTGGTACTGGTTGTCGTGAAGCGTGAGCTTGCGACCGAGGTATTTGGTTGTTTGGTCTGCGCATAGAATTTCGAGGTCGTCGCCGTCAACGCTGGTGTGTGTAATGGTCCGTCCTTCACATCTGCTGAGGCTGGTAAGGATTTTGGTTTTGTCTGGGTGTAGTACAAGCCCACACTTTCCGGCTTCTCTCTTCAGATCCCGAAGGATCACCTTCAATTGTCGTAAGTTGGGTGCAAGGAGAAGCGCGTCATCTGCAAACCGTAGATTGGTAAGTCGTGTATGCCTGCCGTGCCCCAATTTGGCGCCAAAGCCTTTACTTTCCCAAAAAGGCTGGACCTGTCGGAAAACGTGCTCGAACACCGCGTTGAAGAGGTAAGAACTGAGCGGGTCGCCTTGCTTAACCCCGCGCTGTATGCTGAATTCCTTGCTGCTGACGTCTGTCTTAACCGTGGCGGTCTGATCCTGGTAAAATTTCAGCAACAAGGCAATGTATGAGTCTGGCACGCTCTGTTGTCGAAGTGCGTCCCGAAGGCTCTGATGGTCGACGCAGTCAAAAGCCTTCTTAAAGTCTACTGCAGCGGCCCATAATTGGAGTTGCCACTCATCAGACTGTTCGCGCACTAGCGTCGCGGTGAAGAGGTGGTCTTCTGTGCAAAACCCTTTTCGGAATCCAGCTTGGTCAGGTGATTGTGCAGTCTCGAAATGCGCCTCCAGTCGGTTGCATAATAATCGAGACATCAGTTTGTATAGCAGTGGGGTGATGGCGATTGGTTTGAAATTGTGGGGTAGTTGCGGGTCGCCAGACCTGTAGATGACACTGATTGTTATGCGCCTCCATTGCTCAGGGGGTTCTCGCCCAGGCGTTATGATGTCGTTGAACAGCTTCAGCAAGTGTGATTCGATGACGCCCCCCCCGGCCTTGAGCAGCTCCGCGGTGATACCAGCAGCGTCTTTACATTTGCCATTTTTGAGTTGCGTAACTGCGTGGTGCAATTGTTCTAGAGTGAACTGTGGGATCCCGTGGTGCGCATGATGTCGTGCATTGTCGTGTGCGCCGTGCGGCTGAGCGTCTGTAGGCTCGTCGGTCTCTGCGCAACGTCTGTGCAACTGTTCGTA